AAAAAAACATAAAGGAAAAATTACTTTTTCGGTTTTTTTTTGAATTCAATTTTTTTTTTTTTTTGTTCGTTGGCCCCCCCCCCCCCCCCCCCCCCCCCCTGACGGTCCATGTGACTGCGAGAAAAGAGGCACAGCATAACTTGTTGGAACGTTAGAGAGGCCCGTCATAGTGCGAGTACTTTGAAATGACCAAAAACCATGGATATCAGTCTCAGCCGTCGGGTTTGAGGGAGCAGGAACCTAACAATATAAATCGATACAATATAGGCGTTGTAGAGTTTTCACGTTACGCGGCCGCCTTAAATTCTGCAATGGCCCGACTTGGAAGAGGAAACCAAGCCGACCCATGATATCAATGAGTGAGGGAAGCGAGGGAACTGAAAGTGGGTAGGAATGCCTGCAGATACGCAGGTTTGTATACACACATGAGTGAAATCAAGACAGTACCGATGCCTCTAAAGGACGCCTCAAGATGTCATCCATTGACATCTGGATCCTCCTGTATGTACTCCATGTCTCTCCATGTCTCCATTCATGTCTGCATCCAATAACTTGGGGTCGCGGAAAAGACCTCCCACGCGAATAAGGATCGGCAGACCCCGAACAGGTGACCGAAACGGGACCCGAACCTCAAACCGAAACTCACCTGCTCCATCTCGCCTAGCTCACCCGCGTTTCTTGCCCACACCCTTTCCGCGCCAAATATGTACAACTACTTAGTAGGTAGTTCCTTGGTTTCCCTGCCGGTTATGTCATGATTACACTACATGTAGGCCTAACGCTCGCACGTGGTTGTGCCGCGACGTCTCGTAGCTCGTCAAAAGTCTCGAGACGCCCAGGCGCTCAGGCGGCGCACGGGTAATCACTAGTATCGGTAGGTTACTTAGTAATCTAACCCAGATACCTAACGTCGTCGCAGTTTAGATAACAATCCTTCCTCTTCGACATCCCGCGCGTAATCTGATGATGGCGTTACCTGTAGTTGCTTGAAACTACATAGTAAATAGAAAACAGACTTATAACCTACCTCACTTACTGTATCCTAGATAAGGGGGCGTGGGGTTTACATCGATCATACTTACTTACTGTGAGCATGATTACATAGTAGATTTGTTAAGCTGGAATAAATGGGCTCCAATGGTTCGTGACTAGCAGACACACTACTGGTGCTTCTAGAATGCTTTGAAACACTCCGTCATTTCCTTCTAGCGTGCGGTAAGAAAATAGAACCAACCTCAATTGTCGCTAGAAAACGCTAAGTACATCGGGTAAGCAACCTACCTGATGAGTCGTAGGTAGTTAGACTACGGTACACTACTGCAGACATTGCGTATGAGAAGAAGATGGGTAAGAAAGTATGACCTCAGATTCTCTGTGCAACTCCAAGCCGAGATTACTGGGATTGCGCGGCGATGATGGTGCCGTCCTTGCCTTACACTACACCACACGAGAAGATTTCATTGCCCCCTTTCGTCACCTCCTCGTTTGACTGTTGGTGTTGGTGATGATGGATCGGCAACCAACGGGGTGGTAGAATCGACGCTACATGTAATAATGGAGGCTTACCGATGCGTCGGGTAAGTGATATAAGACTTATGTATATGTGCTTATTAAGATTTATTAATGTAGGATACTCGTATTTGGACCAACTGTCGTCGAATAGTGTCACTGTAGCTATAAAGTAAGGGCTTTGGATACAGCTCAATGCCTCTGTTCACTCATTTCACATGTGTGCTCTGAGCCTACTTATGATTCCCTGAAATAGCAGTTTTAGTTGTTATCGCCGTTTTCTTCGTGGGGGTAACGGCGGGCCCCGCCTGGGCATGGCGCGGAGGATTACGTCGATCTCCGCGGCGGCGTTGGGGGTGCGGAAGAAAACGTTGAAGAAATAACTGTCACACATGCACTAGATTAGGAAGGAAGGAAGCTGACCCAATGTCGTGTAGTGGGAATATCATGGTGCAGATACGCAGGGAGTCTAGATGTATCTTCTGTGAAGACCACAACCTCATGTACTTTTGCGGGTAAGCAAGTGGTGATATTACTTGCTGACAGATTGGCCATCGCTCGCGCTCCCTCCCGTGTCCTTTTCCTTTGTTTCACGTCTGCCTCTGCGGTGCGCGTGGACTTTTTGTATGAAGTGCTGATATAAGATGGTATGGTTTGATTGGATTGGTACATAGTAAGTCGAGCGGCTCCGTCATTACGTGGTCGCCGAGAATTTCGGTCAATATTTGTGCTCAAAGGAATGGGTTGGCTGAAATCATTCGAGATTATTCCTGCAGCTCGCAACCTTTGCTGAGATGAAGTGTCCGATTCGCGCCCTGTTTTCTCCTGACCCTTGAGATGAATCCGATTCCTGGTTGGATGACGGCGTTTATTTACGTCTGCCAATCAGAAACCTAGCGCATTGATGTATACGTACGTAGGTAGTATGTATGCAAGAGCCTACCTCGGTCCTTGGTCCTTGGTCCTTGGGTAGCTGCTGTAACCCCGAATGACCTTTTATTATCATCCTCCCACACCCCTCCATCTCATCTGCAGGCCGCCTATGTAGCCAGCTACTCTAGACTGGTTGGTGGGCAATGGATCGTGGCCATGCTATGCCATGTGGTTTTCGCTCGCTGGTGGAGCTTGCGGCTGCTGCCGGGGGAGGCTCGTCTGTCTTGGCTTGGCGAGTGAACATGCTTGCTGCAGAATAGGTATGACGCGACAACGACATATTGCTGTGCATTTGCATGTAGGTACACGACTGCAGAGCCGTGGTGGGTGTCGATATTTCCCTTCACAGCCTCACTCACTCGCATGCTTGGTGCACATCAAAGCGACTCGGCGGTGATTCGCCAAGATATAATAAGAAACGCGATACTTTCAGTCCCGTTGCTTGGTTGGCGCCATCCCGGTATTTTCTCTTACTGACTTAGTAGTGGAGCGTAGCGAACGGCACTTCGAACCTGGCCGACAGGACCTCATTGTATTACTTGCCTGCTGCAGGGGAGCGTTTAATGCCATCGCCAATATGTATGCGGCGGAGCGCAACAACATTGGCACATAGCGTAGACTGGTCAAATACCCCAAGCGACTCTCTCCTAGTGTCGCTACTGTTGGCGATAGATTTGTACCGGCCGATATCTTAGGCGCCAACGTCGCATCGAATTTTCAGCCGGGAGCTGGGGGACGAGATTCGCACATGATGATGTGCATGATCGATCATAAGGTATAAGGCGACAGACTTGGCCGCCGGCTCTATGTAGGTACCAGATGAATGCGGCCACAATACCCGCACGCTCGATGAAGGCATGGCTTGACAATCCCAGCTGCGACGCCATACACACACTTAGGACTTACAGTAGCAAATCGGCAAGCAGCACATATCCGTAGATATCCAAGCGCGTCTGCGAGGAGGAGAGTTTTCTTATCCACTCAACCCCGGGTTCTATCCGGTCGTCACGCCTCCTGACCACACGTGCACTGGTCGATACGCGATGTGGGTGTAGCGCGGATGACGGAATGCTGTAGGTAAGTACTTGGGTACCCAATCACCCATCTTCTGTTGCATACGGGGCTGAGATTACTCGGACCGGGGGCCCCCTATTCATCATGTCCCGGTTGTGTCTCTCCGGCCGCGTATCAGCTTCCCACAGAGCTTGGCGCTGCTGGTTGAGAATCCAATATCTGGGAAGATGA